TCCGAGAGAGTACCAGCAGGCTGCGCGAACCTCTCCTATTCTGCAGTCAACATTCCCCTTTTGCCGTACAGCCCTAACGCCATGTTTACAGCGTCACCGAGTCCAGGACTATGCACCGGGAGTCTCTCCCTAGATGCAAGCTGGGTCAGTGATGAGGAGTCTCCCAAGATGCAAGCTGGGTCAGTGATGAGGAGAAAACGAAGGAGCGTTCGACTTTTCGCAAAGACGCTTCACCTTCTGCACACGAAACGTTGGTTCAAAAGGAAAACGAAGAGAGCACATCCGAAGAGGCTGCGTCTGAAAACCGCAGAGGACCAAAGTACCAACAGGTCTCAGATTGTCCAGAGCAAAGCTGGGTTAAGAGGCCCAAGCTGGAATTTACTGCTGACCTGGAGATCGGTGAGATTTCAACCGGCACCAAGATCTCGAGCAGCCCAGTTTACTTAGTCTCTCCTGCGCCATCTGTGCTTGAGGGACCAATAGACAACAGGGATGACCACCAGTCTTCCAGTGGAAACTGGAGTGGCAGCAGCTCCACCTGTCCCTCACAGACATCAGAAACAGTGCCTCCTGCTGCATCTTCGTCACTTACCAGCTCGTGTCAGAGTGACTCCGAGCTCTCTCTGATTGGCCCCACCCATGCCAACGATGACTCCGCCGACCTCGTTCTCGACCATTGTCCGGACCCGAGGGCTCAGCGTTCAGGCTCTTTTTCCTCCACTGTCACGGACGTACTGGAAAGCGCCGGTATTGAAACAGCCGTTGAGCAGGAGTGGAGTAACAGCCATGTCGGGCATTCGAGATCTGAGCGTTTAAGTCCCGACAAGGTGGAAAACATCCTTGCTTGCTCCAGTTTCACCAGTATAGTCACATGCGAGAGCAGCTTATCTGACAAAACGCCATCCGAGAAAGCCGACACCGTGTCACACTGCTCTGTGGACACGGAAGGATATTACACATCCATGCACTTTGACTGCGGCCTAAGGAGAAGCGCGAGCTACGTGTACAGCGACTGCACACCATCTGGCTCGGATTTCGTCCTGTCAGATGTGGGTTACTCCAAGACTTTGGGCCGAAGTTGTCTTTTTTTAAGGAAATCAAAAATAAAACCGTACCCGCCGAAGAGGATTTCATCGTTGACAACCATATGCAATCTGGAGAACCACCCTGATGAAAATGAAGCAAAACATTTTTTGCCTTTTTTATCCGCTAAGGAGGAGAAACCTCGGCTGGTTTCAACCAGCACTACAGGTCAGTCGGAATACTCGTTTTTATGCAGGGGACCATCAGCAATGCGGCAGTGGCTTCTCCCAGATGATCCTTTTGAATCAGCTGTTTTGAGCTTCTCGGGTCAATTTAAAGACAAGGGTATCATGCAAACCAGTGTTTCTCAAAGTGGCTTACAATTCAGCGATTCCTCTCAACCCTCGTTGAACTCCAGTGAAGATAAGACGGTCGATGAGCATATTAGATACCAGATGACGTTGGTGTGCCAGTGTGACACCGCTGCTTCACCGTCACCAACAGATGACGAGTTTAAGGCAATATCGCCCACGACGCCGACCACAATTACAAGCCCGTCCTGCGGTTACTCGAGTGATTACCCTACCCACACCTCTTCATTCCCTTTATCTTTCGCCCCTGCGCCACTGTCACCACCTAATGGCAAAAGCAAGCCCAATGTCCCGGAGAGGATGTCTTCCCTTTCTTCTCAGTCTCTACAGTGGCAGTCCATCAAGAAAAAAGACAAAACGACCACGAGTGATGATGGTAACACGATTATGGAATACAGGAAGGGCATTGAAATGAACACTCAAAATAAACAGAACATACCAAATTCTTGTAAAGTATTCAGCTCAACAGGCATACCCGTCACTCTTGACTCAGTGATGCAACGATCCCTCACTGACAAATGTGAGAAGGAGATGCTAACGTGCGCATCTGCATCACATCTACATTTTGTATCATTAGATGAGCTGGGTAAAGCCCTAGTGTCACCCGTAGAGCGTTTCGGCCAGACAAGGTGTGAGGAGGACGAGCTGGAGAGTTTTGAAATGTACAGTTTATTGTCAGAAACAGCAGCGGACATTGGTGAGGACTCTTTGAGACAGACCGAAGTTACATGCGAGGAGTCGAAGACATTGAAAAAACAAGATGCGTGTTCGACTTCTGCTCCCCTGCTCAGCTCCGACCCCATCG